CAAGATGTCTCCTTGCATCCTACAGAGCATGCACACCTTCCCAATGTATTAGTTGTTCACGACTGATCAGATAGTTGCTTTTTAGGATAAGAAAACGGAGAAGACGCCCATGTTAAAGAAAGAAGAAGAAAAGAAAGAAGAAGAGAAGAAGGAGGAGAAAGAGAAGGATGAGAAGAAGGATGAGGAGAAGAAGAGTGATAAAGAAGAAGAGTTGAAAGAAGAAAGAAAGAAATTGGAAGCTCTTAAACCGAAACAAATTAAGCGCAATGAAAAAGAGGTGAAAGAGAAGAGGACACCTAAGACAAAAATATTTTTCCAAACACTTTCTTTTTGATAAATTTTCCTCCGAATCTTCAGGAGCGCATCGCACAAGGAAAAGAAGTTCGAAACAAAGGAGACTATCCCACTTTTAATGATGTGGAAAGTGACTGGGATTCGGCTAAGGATGTTGTAAGTCGGTCATTAGGAAATTGCTACAAAGAGATGCTGCTCTTGTTCAGAAAGAGAAAGGAGCGAAGGAAGAGGAGAAAAAGGAGTCAGAACAGAAAGTTGTTGAACAAAAAGATGAGGGAAAGGAAAGTAAAGTAGGAGAGAAAGAAGGGGAGGAAAAGAAAGAAGAGAAGAAGGACGGTAAGGAAGAGAAAAAGGAGGAAGTTAAGAAAGACGAGGCTGTGAAGGATGAAAAGAAAGTTGAACCAAAAACGAAGCCAACACAATCGGGAGGAACCCCGAAAAATGGTAATGATAAAGGTGCGTCCTGCTTATAAAATTCCACTTTTTAATTGAATCGTGCATATAGTGGATTGGTTCAGATACAGCGCAGAAAACGGCAGTTCCATCAAAGAGTGGTGAGTTACAGTAAAAGAACCGAAAATGAACCGTAGCATAAATCTAAGGTTAATGGGCTACGAATCGCGCATATAAGCAGTTTTTAACGCAACATCCAATTATAGTAGTACGAGTATGATTCCACATGACAGGCTCTCTCCTTCAAAATAGTTTTTCAGAGGGAGCAGCGAAACAATGAAGTAGCCACACGACAAATCAATCTTATTGTGTATATGAGCCTT